CCGCCACCCCTTCCAAGAAGCCCCGGACGACGGCGGCCTCCACCGCCGGGTCGCCGTGGAAGGTGAAGACGTCGGTCGTGTCGTCGGCCGGCCAGTTCGCGACGCCGGAGAAGATGAAGAGGGCGGTGCCGGCCGCCGCGGCGGATCTGGTGACCCCGGAGAAGACGGAGCCGCGGCCGCTGCTGCGGAGGGGCCGCAGCGGCGGCGCCGTGGCGCTGTCCGTCAAGGAGGTCCGCCGGGCGGCGCTCGAGCTGCAGCGCGCCGGCAGGGGCCCTGCGGCGGGGGTCGATGCCGGGGCGGAGGACGCGCTCGAGTCCGTTGAGAGGGAGCTCGGCGTGGGCGCCGGCGCCGGCCGCAGCCCCGTCAAGCGCAGGCCCGAGGTCAAGCTGCCGGAGAGGTAACTGTCGCGGATCTGCACCTACAGTTTCATCCCCTGTTTTCGCATGAAGGGATCTGTCAGTTTCCACGGCCACCAGTCTATCCATCTAGTAAAATCAACATCAAACTAGAATCGTTCGGATGAAAACATCCTCTCTGATTAGCGTTGGATCTAGTCCGATTTCTTGCTTGCGCCCCCAAATCGGATCCTTTTACTTAGTTTCAGACCATCCCTGAATCTGTGCATATTGTTTCTGAGATGCAAGTTACTGCAACTGACACTCCAAGGATGCAGACATCTTCTCTGATTAGCGATGGATCTGGTCCGATTTCTTGTTTGCGCCCCCAAATTGAATCCTTTCACTTAGTTTCAGACCATCATCGTGTTAGTACAACCAACAACAATCTGTATACTTTATTTCTGTGATGCAATTTACTGCAACTGACATTAGATGATTACAATCGTTATCTGGAAGATGCAAAATTCACGCCGATAATTTCCAGCATATTTTTACTGCACTAGTTCTATTTTCTAATTTGGTTTATGTCATCGATGATCAGCTATGAGATTCTCTGCGAGTTCTTCAACTGCTTCGAGAGCTCCACCCGGCTCCTCCGCATGAAGGGATCCAAGGCAACATTCCCCAACATCTGTGCTAGCATTCAGAACTTGGCTGAGAGGTACTGGCCTCTTATGACAAAACAATCAGATGATTGCTGCTGTGTTTGATTTACATAATCCAGTCTCTAATTTACGCAATTCTGTCTGCAGGAGGTTTACCTATGGCCATCTCGCGCAGCTCAAGTACATTATGCCCGAGGCTATTGTCATCAACAAGATCCTTCTGCGCGACGACAAGACTTGCTGCATGAAGCCGGATCTGCAGGTGAACCTATTGGTTGATTCGGTTGAGGACAGTGCGATGCAGAAGGGGGAAACCCGCTACTCTGCTTTGAGAAGGATGTTCAGGCAGAGGCTTGTCGACTTCTTCAGGAAACATCCTGAGGTATGATCATCTTGTATCTTTCACACTTTCAACACAGTTACATGTGCAAATTTATTGTCATATGAGAACAGTTCAGTAACTGTATGATTACTGGTGCCAGTCAAGCAAATGTACTAGTTGAAGTACTCATGTTCTCTCTGTAATTTATCTTTCAGGGAGATGACATCCCGGAGCATGAGCTGCCGTATCCATTTACTCAAGCAAAATCAAGTGTGGCTCAGAGCACACCAAGAGTTGTTACTGAAGTTGTATTTGCCGCGCCATCACCAAGCCTGGCTGAACAGCCGGCTGTTGCACTGTCGCACATGTCGCAGTCTTTCAAGAGGAGGTTCTCACAAAGATCTTCAACCTGCTCTGCAACTGCCAGAACAACCGGTCTGCCGCCGAAGGCTGAGTCTACTGCTCCATCTCCACTGGGCAGGAAGTTGATGCTCAGTTCTACTTTTGGTGGCATAGATCATGAGTCCCAAGTGCAAGAGAAAAGTAGCAAGGATGTTGCACTCAGGTTTGGTGTTACAGAAGGGACTCCTGCCAAGTTTGCCTCTACACCAGTGAGATCAATGGCAGGCACACCGAACCTTGAGACCCCCCAGAGGCCAATATCTGCTACTGTGTGTGACACGCCACCTCTAAACACGGCCAAGCGATCAGCTAGAGCCAAGTTGTTCATGACACCTACAAAGGATGCAAGCAGAATGGAAGAAGAGAACCAAAGCATGAGCAGCACATCTCCAAGCGATGGCGATGATGAGTTGCTCGGTTTCCTTCCAAAGTCCCTCTTGCAATCGGTAAGTTCTTACTCATACTGATCGTCGGTCAACTCATTTTTGCTCCTCTGTGAACAAAGGATGACATATTTGTTATTTACAGGTAAAGGAGAAGGAGAAGAGAACTTTGGAGGAGAAGGAAACTGGCTTTGCGGACCACGTTCAGCGGCAGAAGCTCATATCATGCCTGCCAAGCACCTTTGACATTATCTTCCTTATCTATCAGTCGAGGCAGCGAACTGTACTGACAAAGCAGGAGCTCATCCACAAGATCATCGAAAGTAACCCGAAGATCGTTGACAAGGGTAAGTGTGAGCTGTGCTTTCTATCTTTGTCGCATCAGCTTGTTGCCTGCGATGTGAATCCTGATGTTGAACTCCTAAATTTGCAGGTGAAGTCGAAGAGCAAGTGAGACTGCTGCTAGAGTTTGTCCCAGAGTGGATCTCTGAGAAGACTGCAAGAAATGGAGATATTCTTTGCTGGTAAACATTTCTTATCCAATGCATAAATGCTGAGCGTGCGACTATTACACCCCATCATTCTCAGACGTCCTAATTCGTTTTAATGTTGATTTTCAGTGTCAATACCGCACTGAGCCAGTCTGAGGTTCGACAAAGGTTGTCCGGTGTCGAGTAGGGAGGAGCACAAAATTGTTTCTCCTTGTTTAGAAATGTTGTGGTATATTAGTGCAAGGTTGCGCCTAGATGCTGGAAGATGCGTAGTTGTCGAAGTTGATGCTCAAGTTCAGACACTGCCCAGTTTAAGTTAAGTTATCAGCGCTTCTGTTCAAGATCAGACAAGACGCAACAACCCTTGACTCAGTGATTGACATGTGTAGCTGAAGTACTCTTAACAGCTGATGAGGTTGGGCTGCCAATTTCTTACATAATGTGTATGCTCCGAGATGTCTCTGGATGAAATGATGTTTGTTATCCTTGATCTGGGCCTCAACTCTGAAAAACATTTTATTTCTGGCTCTTGAAGCATTCTGTCTTCTCTAAGACCAAGCATAAAAAGATGAAATGATGTTTGTTATCTCTTTGAAACAAGGATACAGAAGTGTGAGGTACTTTATGATTCCTGAAAATTTCTAACAACTGGTCCCCTCTTGTTACAGAGCAAACTAAACTCAATACTAAGCATTGTAAATCAAGAGCACCAAATGGTTATACTTAGTCAACCAGCTAGTGTGGTTCTAGAGTTTTAGTAGTACAAATCAGAATCAATACCTACAGATAATGTTAAGCATATATAACATTCTTTCTAACATATGCTCTTCCACCATTTAATGTTTCTCACTCGTGAAAGAGTCCAAGAACAACTCTCTAATTTGCTTTTTCTTCTCACCATTCGGCGCACCAAAACCATCCCCACCTTGGTAAACACAATGTGAGATTCGGGCCAAATTCACGCAAGTCTTGGCAAAAGATCTAGAAAATTGGCAATGTTTGAAAGCATCTTCATTAATCGACTTACAGGCTTCCATGGTAAGATCTTCCATGGCTTTGCGGGACTCTTGCTCACTGGACCTGTTCTCCGACATGTGAATGGCTATTGATGATGGTGCATCCCCTCGCTCCAGCTCGGCCTGTTACACATATTTTCACAACATAAGACACCTCTCATAAAGATTCAACTTTGGTGATTGAAACAGTAAGGGGCAAAACAACCCGGATAAATTTTCCTTACAGAGTGGGTTGCAGAGTCGTTGCAGCAACAGTGGAGCAGAGGCTGAAATTGCTCCATTGGCCAGATACTCACGAAGTGTTGGTCTATGGTTTCCATGGTGCCACTTTGCCTCCACTAGGAAAGACTCCGCCATGTCTCGCCACTGCAAAACCATGCAGAATTTTTTATGGGGTTCCTTGTGAAAATAATCTATATCCTATGAGTAAGTTAATTGTGTATATGAACTTACCGCTTTCTGAAGAACATGACAAGCGTCACAACCATGTTGTTCCAACACATTTTCAGCCACATCAGTGGATGTGTTGTACATCACAGAATAGAGTGCTTGTATGTATTCGGGGAGTCTTTCACTAGGACTTTCTTCCCATCTGAAATTATGTATTAATTTTAGATAATGGAAAAGCTTCATTTAATTTGAAACTAACGTGTCATATATATGTTACATGCTACTCTAGGACAAGAATATTACTTGAATTATTATTTAAGAAAAAGAATATTACTTGAATATGAGAAGTGCACCATTGAATGTAGTTACCTTCCAATGGCGTCGGTGAAGAGAACAAGTTCATCTAGAGTTCCATACACATCATAAATATCATCTAAGTAAACTATTAGATTGGCGACTTTAGTAAGCACTTCTCGACATGCTCCATTGTTTGGCTCCCACACAATTCCATTTGCGTAATGAAAGCACTCCATGAGACGATCCCTGGCGAACCCCAATTTTTCACTACGGGCAGTCCCCTTCCACCACCTACAATTAAGCAGGTACATTTTCATATCTTCAAAACCCATCAATTATGTGAAGTAATTAGCGGGCTAATTTAAATGTACATTTCTTCACGCTCAATTACCTTGCTAGTCTCGCGAGTTCTTCCTGATGCACACTTTGCACGTTGTTGAAGTCTGTCGTTGCAAATCTAACGAGCAATGGGTCATAATTGCTCTCCTCTCTAGAATAGTGATCTATGGATCATCTTGCTTCTAGTCTAGGAGACCTCCGGTGCAATGGAAGGTCCAAAGAACGTACTACACAGGGACGGAGCTGCCTTGTAAGGATTGGGGTCAATTGACCCCAATGGAATTAGCAAATCCTTCAGAAACTAAGTACTAATCACTATTCATTAATCAAAGATGACCCCACTGTGATAGACCCATTGAACTTTTTTTGTAGCTTCGTCCCTGGTACTACACTGCGCCGTAAGTGGTGATCCATGGATGGCAAGAGCTTTTTGAGAGCTTTCTTAGAAAATGCTCTTGCCTCGTCTAGTGTTTCCTCGCCTCCGAATGCAAGTTATGAAGCCTCGTAGAGTGAGAGGAGTCCTCTGACATCGTCGGATCCACGCTTGAGAGTTTGCAGAGATTCTGTAATATACGTTACCATGAAACAATGTCAGTTAAGTACTTAAGTATACAAAACCTAGCCATACACATAAGTCAAAGTTTCAACTGTGATTGAATCTGGACCATGCATTTGGTGCAGATATGTTTAATTTCCAAAATTTTGGCCGTAGTTTTTGGTTTTTCTTACAGCCTCTAAGTGTATGTTTTTCATATTTCATTAACTAGGTACCTGGAGGGAAGAAGGCTGGGAAACCACCGTCCCTGAGCAACCTGAACCTCAAGGCCGCAGAAGCAATATCCAAGCTGCACCGGCGAGGCTAGCGGTGGACGGACCTAAAGATAGTTTCGATCTCCTCCTTGAAATGGTAGGCGATGCCAAGCCATTGCACCGTGTCGACAAGCCTGAGCTTCACAGCTTGGTGGTCGCCTCGGCTCGCTGCTACCAGCAGGGCCGTCCCATAGATATACGGGGCCCAGGGGCAAGAGAAGAACAAGGGGGCCCTTCTTGAAACACAAAAGATCAAATTAAAATATCCAATGCATAGCATATATTGATTATCTTTGGACTCTTAAGACTGACAGTACAACAATTTATCAATCAAGAGAACTGTATCATGATAGTAATGAAACAATACAGCTCCACAAAAGATTGACTTCTTAATTGTCAATGGAGACATTGTTTTTTTCTGCACAACAAATGGCCTTGTCGAAACTGGTTGCTTTCTTAAAACATTCGTGTCACCATGAGATATATATAAAATTAATGCAACAACTAACATTTGTTTCTTGATCCTCCCCAATCTGCATGTTCTTCACATAATAATTCTTCACCAAAATAATAACTCATCTCTTCCAAACTATCCTGCATAAGAGATGGCAAAGCAAACTGACTATTTCATGTTTGAGAATGGATTTTTAGCACCGGGGGGCCTAGGCACCCCCCTTATCACACAGTTGGTCTAGAATCCAGCTCTTATTAGGGATATGTGCCATGCACTACTTTAGCTAGCAAACGATTAGCAGATTTACTGTTCATGGGAGGACGGTCGCAGTTCAAATGGAGCTGGCCTGGGCCTAGACTGCCACTGTGCTCGTAGGTTTGATTCCTCCCTAGCTAGTGTCACTTCTATGCGGCTTTTCCATATCGGGGCTGTAAATTTTGGCACCGTGTGTCTTGACCGGTCTTGGGCTCACTATTCATCTGGCAGGAATCTATCTGTCATAGAGAACACAGGCTGCCGTGTTGCAAGCGTGGACATGGATTGGGCGCACTATATTTTAGGAACTTTTCCGTGTCCTTGCGTTTGAACGTGCATGGCAGAGCCAGCTGCCGACTCTCTTTTTAATTGCGTCGTGACAGATAGATTCGAAAGAAGAAAAACAAACTCGAGTAGAATCGTCTGTTGTAGGTTTCATAGCGGATAATGCACAGGTGCAGTAACACTTACGCCCCAGTTATGTATTTAATAAATTTTGTAGTACTACAAAAGAAATATATCAAGACGAAGAGAACAACATTGTTTTACCGTCTGCATGCTATCACTTCAACCCTAGGCCTCCTGTCATGCCTACTCCTGCAAAGCCTACTTCTGCATGCTACTCCTTCCCTACTCCCTCCCGTCGCTTTCTATCTCACTAAACAAGCCTGACTAATCACGCTGAGCCTGCAAAACGTCTGCAGCTGTAGACTGCCTCGCACAAATCCTAACACAGCTGGAAGGCCAAGATAATAGGGTGCCAGCACCTTTTCGTTTCATGTTTATACTATGATGATCAAAACATGCAGATTCCCTCAAAGAATTACTAGTTTTGAAGAACTTAGCAATTGATCCTTTTGGGATTCCACTAGCAGAATAGTTTCTTGAAGACATGTCACTAAATAAGCTGTATAAAAATGGTTAATACAAGGATCAACAGCACCTGGGAATGAAATGATGGATGTAGATGTAGATGTAGATGGCTTGATCCGTATGCTGCAGTAATCAGCACGAACAAAAATACAATGCCATAGGTGGACAAAATTTCTCCCTTCTCTAGTCTCCTGCCTGAGCTCTCTACCACGTTTGGATCCAATGAAGAGCATAAGAAGATCCATATAGATTTGGTGGATGTGCGATGTGGAATCCTGCGCAGAGCTATTTATCAATGAATCTATGAATTAAGGAACAGAATTACTGGAAAGAGAACATCTACCCTCTCCAAAGTCTAGGGAATGGGCACAGCATTGAGAAGGAAGGAGAGCCGATTGGGAAATTCACGCCACTAATGGCCGGCCACAACACTGGAATCGGAGAGGCACGGTAGGGGCGGCCGGCGGCGCTGAGCCTGCGATTGGGGAAGAAAAGGAGTTTTTTCGTGTATTTTTCGGGCTGCTTGCAAGAATAGTACCTGGCCCCACGCAGGCCTTCAACTTATCGACCCGTGACATCATCCATGCATGCACGGAATAATTTCCATAAGCATTTCATCTACAGTACTTTATATACTACATGCCGGTAGAAAATATGATATGTTCAGCTGATAAATGTACTTGATCTGCCTGTCCGCCATTGTTGGGCGAGGAGCTGGGAGCGTAGTTGGCAGACCGCCAAGCCGCCGCGGCACAGCGCACCGTTGCCGGCGAGGACGTCGGAAAGCATGTACTCATCGTGGCCACTGTTTGCTGCCATTGCCACGCCATGGTGCGGTGCGCTGCAACCTAGTCAGCTTTTGCAACAGCGAGAGCTTGGCAACGAGGTTAGTACTTCTAAGCTGTAGTAGCCAGTAAACTTACCGCTGTTTGTTGTTTGAGAGTAGCCAGAATAGGTGCCAATTTATAGGCGAGCTACCAGGCACCCAGCAGCATACCTAGCTCAGCCCGCTTGAGTATGCTATACGTACGATGAATTCTCTTCCCACACTCATACGATTAGAGACATGATGCATACAGAATTGGTAGTACTATTTCCTTTCAGCCATATATTGTTGTGGTGACTAGGGATGAGAGTATTTTTGTGGTGATACTTCTTCTAGAGGCTATTGTTTTTTACCCGGATACCAGAGAATGTAAGACTTTTAGGTATAACAAAATAACATTTTTCATGGCAAGTTGTGTTGGTCGAGGATGACAAGTTTAGTTGGTGAACATGGCAAATCCGCCTCTTTTCATTTTTTTTTCCAGAAAATATTCGTGTTTGCAAACTAATTTTGCCATCCCCGCACAAGTATGCCGATGGAAATCGTTTCATTTGTCATGGCTAAAAATCTGACTTTCTTGGGGTTTTATAGCAAAATTCCATACAAACCACTGAGAACTTACTAATTCTCATATTCCCATACAATGGTCGAATTGAAATCAGGTGGAAAATACATAAAGGGACCACATAAGAAAATCATGGTTGGAATTAACTTCTTGATGGATTGTTCTTCTTCAACTTGTTAACATGAACAATTATTTCCTCCCTCCCTCATTCCACTGGTCCAACCGCCTAATCTGCGGTGGTGCCCCGCAAGCCTAGCGGCCCAACCTTGCCTGAGCTGTCTCCTTTGACAATCCCTCTATACGGCCGGGAGAGGTATGTCTCGCTTATAGTCTCATTAATTTATAGCGAGACACTAGCTTCTCTCGCGTTGAGCATGGAAGCCCTCTCGGTGAAGGTGCTTGCATATGGGCCAGACACATTAGTGTAGATCTATTGCTGGCGCTCGTGCGCTGCAGGTTCGGTTGCTATAGCTTTTCTCTATTATTTTTTTCTATTTTTAGTTTTCTTTTGTTTCGGTTTGGTTTTCTTTTTTCTCTCTCTCCTGTTTTCTTTGCTATTCTTTTTTCATCATTATACTTATTTTTTTGGGTTTTTTCTTCCATTTTTCTTTGGGTTTTGTTTGTTTCTTTCATGGTTTTTATTGGTTTTCTTTCTTTCTTTCTTTCTCATTTTCCTTCTTTTTTTGTTTTTGTTTTTTGCTTAGTTTCCAATGCTGTTTTTATTTTTCTTTGTTCTTATCGCTTTTCACTGGTTTTCCATTCTTTTTGCACTTGTTTCTTCAGTTATTTTATTTTATTTTTTCTGTGGTTTCTTTTCTTATTTTTTTGACTTTCATTGTTTTTCTTTGTTCTTTTGATTCTCATTCTACATTTTTCGTATGCGTCAACACCATTTTTATAATAAATGTTTAAAATTTTCAAATAAAAGTTATATATTTTTTGAATACATGGTCAACAATTTTCTATACATATTTAATATTTTTCAAATACAAGATAAATATTTTTGGAATACAATACAAGCTTAATTTTTTTAAATACATGGTAAAAATTATTTCAATACAAATTTAACATTTTTCAAATGCTTCAGTAAGATTTTTCAAATACTTGTTTAATA